ACAATCTAGGAATTCCCCTCTCATCACTCGTTGAGCGAGTCATTTCTTTTACAATTTCTTTTGCTTGTTATGTGAATTACTCGTTATGAGAGGTGCTCGTTAAGCGAGGTTCCACTGTACAACTTATGAAACTCCTTATTATGCAACTTTCTCCAGGCTCTTTTCACATCATCTCCTTATGTTCAAATATTCTCTTCATCACCCTATTCTCCAACACCCTTAATCCGTGTTCTTCCCTTAGTGTGTGAGACTGTGTTTCACACCAGTAGAAAACTACAAGTAACATTATGGTTTTGAATAGTTTAGTCTTAGTGATTTTAGGCAGCAGATGTGAAGAAGATTGATTCTGAACTTAATGGTTGCAAGAATTTCCTGAATTAAATACCCATAACTCCTTCATGAATGTAATTTTAATTTGTAAGATCTGAGGCTTTCACGGCGGTGACTATGAAGAAAGCAGTCTTCTGGGATTTGGCACCATGTATGTGTGGTGTTAACCGACGTTTCGGAGGAACGTATCGCCTCCATCTTCAGGGTAGAAGGAAAAATATAAGAAATCCGCAAGCAAAGAGACCGTGAGAAGTGAGAACCAGTAAAAGCAGACTGGTGTTGGAAATATACACAGCTATGTGAGAGCAGAGAAGGAAGGGGGGAAAGGGCAAGTATACAAGTGAAATCAGTAGTGTGGGGGGGGGGGAAGGAGCTGGGACAAGCATGGTTGTGTTGGGGGAGAGAAAGGCAAGGTTAAAAGCTGGGCACTAACCCTTAAGCTGGGGGGGTTGTTATGTTATGTTAGTCGGTCATGGCCTGTGTAGCCTCCTGGATCTGGTGTCATATCCCCCCAGCAGCAAGCTGCTGCTGGCCCATGAACCACATTTTGCTTGGCCTCAGCTAGGATCATTTCTCAGACACTTATTACATTAAGGCTACCACTTCCTATTGCTTGCTCACAGGCACCAGTTCCTACCCTTTCTTTCTCTGTATGCTTTTTCCTGCATGGATTACTCTTCTATCCTGAAGGTGGAGACAGCAGATTCCTTTGAAAGAATGGCACCTATCTACCAAACTACATGGTCACTGCCATGAGAGCTTAAAATCCCACAATTATATTCTCCTTTCACACATATGTCTCCACTACTGTGGGAACTATAAAAAGAGTAAAAGTAAAGCTATCCCTGTGCCAGGCTGTGAAGGCCCATAGGCTTGCGAGATGTTGAGGGTCCCACATTATCTAGACAATCGGCTCAAAGATGGCGGTAAGGTTGTCAGCCTTACACGCCGGCTGTGCTTTACTCCCCAGGAAAATTATTTAATTAATTCCTGGTACTCATTTCTGTTAGAGGCTGAGTCAACCCCAGGGCCATAGGAAGGATTAGGTCAAATGAAAAAATCCAATGACCTCATCGGGACTTGAACCCATGACCTTCCGGCTTGTACCATAGCCCCTCAACCAACTATGTTACCACGTGCCCCCATGTGGGAACTATACCAATGCAAATTTATGTGTTCAGGTCATAAGTTGTGGCTTCTGAGAAAGTAACACAATTAAAGAAGCTGCTTCTAGTATCTGCTGTTAATATGTTGCATTATTTATCAGTACCTTCATGGTTTGTGTTGCCATGGAAAATAAGTTAGATCTGTACATACATTTTATTTGGAGGTAGAGATAAAAAAAAAGCTGACCATTCACATCACTAAGATCCCTGCCCCAGTAGATGCAAATGAAACATATCTGACAGAGATTATTATCATATGATAATGTCAAATGCATTGTATATTCAACATTACCAACAATCAGAGAAAATTTTTACAGGTATTTGGTCACCATTACCACCATTATTCATTCAAACTGAATACCTTAACGGAGAAGTCACATAATCATACGGGCCTGCAATGTTGTTTGCATGTCATTTTCTATGCAAATTCATCCAAGTATGAAATGGGAATGTAATCTAAAGTAAAAATCTTAACGGGGAATTAATATAATCAGAGGGGTCTACATGGCTCTATGCATGAATCTGCCATGTAAAATCACCCAAGTGTCTGCTGAAAATATTAATTAAAACTACACATCTTAAGAAAGACGTGGTACAGTCAGATGTCTCTGCACGGTTCTGGTTGTCTCACTGTCTGTTTTTACCGTGTAAATTCAATCAAGTATTCAGTGAAAATTTTGTGCAAACTAAGTAGTTCTGCATGTATAACTGTGTATCATTTACTATGTGAATTCATCTACGTATCCAATGATAAGATGCTCACAAGAACACTGAAGGGCCGTATGTTGTGACACTACCATGGTCAGTTTAATTACTGTACATTACTCTGTTGACTGAAGAGGCTGTGAGCCTCAGATTATAAAGCAGGATAATGATGAATCATGAATTATGAAAGATGTGAAAGAAGTGATTGTGACTTGTTATTGTTTCATCATTAGTTTATAAGTGCCAGAACTGATGTTTCTCATGTTACTACATTCCTTACAATGTACAGTACAGATTGAAATGAAGCATTCCTATGTTGATTGTTCACTGGGATATATATTTTATGTCTCCGAAATAATTAGACTTGACTTATTAAAAAGCTGTTATGTGGCAAAATAATATGCATAATGATACTATGGGTTAAAGGAAATTTCAGCTATTTTCTTTCCATACCCCATCCTCTCTTCTCAGCTCCTACCAAAGACAAGAGAATGACTTCCATTCTGATGTGAATAATTAAACATGAATATTCTGTTCTCCTAGACCTCTGAGAGAGAAAACAGAAACAGAATTAGGAAATTCTGACATAGTGGGAGATACTGTGAAATGCTGGAGAGTGAATTTTGAACAAATAACACCCACCTCCTCTGCAGATGGGAGGAGAAATATCACAAGATTGGGATGATAAATGGTTTGGCTAATGATAAGTCTCCAAAAAGGTTCTAGGGGCCTACTGCATAGAATGTACTATTAATGAATATTGCATACTATGCAGCAATAAGAAGTGACCAGTCACTGTTTCATAAAGCTAGAAGATTCATTTAGAGTTGAGTGACAATATTTTGTTAAAATCTATATATAGAATTGGAGAATGAGTAGGGGAAATATATAAATCACAATTAAAAACTGGAAAACTGTTCTCTGTAAGTTTAAATGTTTTGAGAAGGGAATCATCATGTATTCAAGTAAACATGGTATAACCTAATAAACATTAAATAAATAATATTGGTAATGGTACCAGGCCTTGTGATGAGCTGATCACCTGCCCAAGGAGTCCTACCGAATGTGTAAGATCTAGAAAAACCAAAGTGAATGGAGAAGTTCATGGAGGTAGGTCTAGGCCTGTTGGGGCTGTAGTGCCAAGAACAAAAAATGGTACCACCTATGAGTACAGATCAACTGTTCTTCATTACAATTGATCATAAAAGTGGCTCTTGGTGGCACACAAATTAGGATCTATTCAAATGTTATATTTACTGTCAAATAGACCTTATTTTGTGTTGTACTATAAAGGAAAAGTTTTCCTGTTCATAAACACCAGGCCATGAATGTGTGTTGGGTCATGAAGGTAAATACTCATATATTCTCAGACTCAGCAGTAGATGGAGGTGACTGGTCAGCCTCATGCTTGGTACCATGCAAAAAAATCCTGGGTACCCACTGTACAGAGGGCTGCATTGAACTCAAAGCCACTTGGGGGGGGGGCAGTGATGAAGAGAATATTTCCAGGAACTCCTGCAAACATTTAAGAAACAATTAATTTCTTTTCTTAATGACGATCTTGAACTTGCATTGTACTAACTGTCCAATCAGATGGGAAATGTTAAAATAAATTCTTATTAATTGGTTTTTGTGTCACATTGAATCCAACCAGGTGGTACAATTTTACACTGTGTCTGTTATTATATAGTTAATAAGATTTATAGAAATTGCACCCATGTGTTCAGACATAACATCTATGTGATTTGAACCCAGAGAATAAAGAGCAAGTGTGTGTTATCTGATACCATCTTCCGGTCATTTCCTTCCAGTACTAGACTTGGAAAACTAATATTCTGTCCTCATGCACCACATTTAGGAAAAATTTATGTGAATGAAGTTCCTCTTCATGCTGATCAAGTCTTCACTGACTTCATCTCATTTACCACATAGCCTCTGTGTCAGAGAATACTGTTGTTAAATCACAGTATTCAGGCCTGATTATTCACTTTCAAGTTGTTGTACTCCACCATTTCCAATGTTTGGGAATAACAGTTACATGTCCTCCAGACATTTCAGCTGCCATTATTCATATCTTCCTTGGCCTATCTCTTTTAAGTAAATTAGCTTCTTGATCAATGTCAGCCTATCAGTTCAGCCAACAGGTCCAACTCACATGAACAAATAATACAGTTCCAGTTCTTCACAAATAACAATGACAATGATGACAAAATGAAGAATATTATTCATGTGTTGCTATGTAGGCAGTGCTATTTGTAATGTAAGAAGATGAGAATTATGATTACAGGGCAAGTAATCACATCTTATAATAAAGTAATACATCATAAAATATCAATGATGTGTAATGATGCAGTAAAAACATTCATAGTATGACAACTTCTTCTGATGCTCTGTAGCTTTTAACTGTTAAAAGCATCAGCCAAAAATCATGGTAGCTTAAAATTATTTTAATCTTCTTTGTATGCATCACTTTTCTTGTACATTTACTTTGACTGATTCCATTCTGCACCACCCCACAGTAAGAATGAAGCTGGAAATGCAGAAAATGAGTGACAATGTCAAGCTGCTGCTCTGAGTTAGAGTTTCTCCAGTTTCTGCACTTATATCCCAATACTTCCACACTCTTATGGTTATCCAATATGGAAACCATATCTATGCACACTTGTGCATACCTTGGTTGTCTGTTTCACACTGTTACAAGCTTGATTTATGATTTTCTTTCTTTAACATAGCTTCAATTTTTCTGTAGCCTGGTAAATGTGTTTTTGTTAATGATGAGATCCCACAACGACCATAGGTTCACACAATGATCTCACGAATGACGCGCCGACTGCGGGAGTTGGGCGTTGAGTATCCACTCTCTAGGCTCTCGTCAAATGAAAGTGAGATGTGCTGTGGTTTGCTGTCATCACAGTCGAGCTGATCCATGTAGGGGTCTGGTAGGCCACTCACATCATGATAGGGGGAGTCTGCAGAAAGAAGTGCAAATGTGAATCAAATAACAATGGTACAGAATCAGATCTGTAAACTAACACTCTGCATGTAGTCAAGTGTTACACAAGAAGTCACCATACAAATACCACAAACTATGCAGAAAGAATACTGAAACAATCAGAAAAATTTGACAGGTGCCATGCTATATCTAACCTACAGAATGTGTTTGAAGCAGGAAAAGTTAAAAGATACTGTTAATAAGGTTAACAATTTACAGTAAAAATAGTATTAAATAAACTTCTTCAGCAGTGAAATAAGAGTGAAGAATTTATGTTACTCTTGCCACACTTTTAAATAAATTATTTATTTATAGTTATATAGGAAACTCGTTCTAATAACGATATTCTGCACATTACAAAATAGACAGTCAAAGTCTGAAGTCTAGGGATATCTTTCACGCTAAACTCTTTGATAGAGTTAGGCCCCAGTATATATGAATCTATGCAACATAAAAAAAATGGAAGCATTTTTCAAATAACAATTAAACTGAGTCTGAGAATTTATAAAATCAGGAGACAAGAAGTTAAACAATTAAGAATGTCAAGGACATTAGTTTTTGTCTTGGATTTTAACTAAATTTGATACTATAAATGGTGACAACAAATTTAATAAATTGTTAATGTAAATGACACCAGTCTTCTTGCAGGACTCAAATTAAATTTGAGAATTTAAATGATAGTTTTATTCTGAAACCTAAATAAAAATTGCAAACATATCTGTTTAGACTATAAAATGTAAACAAATCTGCTCTGTATTTAGTTTGTTTTTAATATACTGGTGCTTTAAAATATGTATTAAATATGTTATTACTGTATTAACTTGGACATTTAAAAATATATGTTAAAATGATAACAGCAAAGTGCATATTTATCACATTGATACAGTTGTTTAGAAAAAGCCATATTATCATAAACAGAAAAATATGGATGCTCAACAAAAATAAAACATAGTGACAGAAATTAAATTAGCTGATCTGAGAGGACAGTTCCAGTGCTTACCTTTGGGATAAGAAATGGTAGACCTACATACGCTTCACCTGGACAAATAAAACTGTCCAACGTGTCTTCAAGGTTAGATCAATTCTTGACTCCAGGCTCACTTCAGATTCATGACTTAAATGTTAATAAAAGAAAAGGATTTCTTCTTCTTTTAGTAGTAAACAGAGAGAGACTAAATTCATGTTATTGCCATCAGGACAAAATCTTATACCTTTAAAAATGTCTTCAGTGAATTCATTTTTGAAGATATAATGCGCTACATGAAAAGAAACAAATATTATGAGCAAACAGTACAGGCAAAAGGATGCAAAGACCTTATTAGGTTAAATTAACTGAGTCATCAGCTAACAGAACAGAAGAATTAAGAAACCTACTGCAAACAGTCTAAGGTTTTATTAATAATCCAGAAAGCATTAGTAAACAAAGCATTCAAAAGGCAATGTAAAGAAGCTTACTACCACCAGAACCCCAAACTCAGTCATGTAGCATATTTATCCAAATACCACACATGCTTCAAGGAAAACTGTGTTCACCCAGTGGGGTCATTTGCTCCAACATTAAATGTTGTTAGTTCAAGAACCTGAGTCTTGGTAGTATAATCATCATGTTCAATGAGGAAGAAAAGCCATTATCAAAATGCGAGTTAAGTTAAAGTTTCTTAAGTTTCAGTCTGATTTGTTTATAGTGTTGGCAGTCACAAATAACAAATACAACTGAATCAACTTCAAGTCCATTAGCCAATCAACCATATTACCTTCATGCAGTATGTACCATATTGTAACTGATCAATGTTTTCACTCATTTTTAATTCTCTTTCATAAAGTGGAGAGCATGTGTTATTCAAGCCTGCACTGTTTTCAAATCCTTACGCTATTTAGTAATGTGCTTTTATTATCTTCAGACAATAACTTCAGGCAGGTTCAACTACCAGTTTGGATAAGACACATGTATCACAATTTTCATACTATGTATCTGGTTGCTAATGTATGTCATGGTTAAACTGGACCTTTAAGAACAACTGCAGGAAAAGGCTAGTTTCCAGCTATTAAAATTTACAGGACACTGTTCAGTATCACTTCTGAGAATGACATGAATTTTTTCCACCATAATACATCATACAGTAAATAATATTAAGAATTATTGGATTTTCGTACTTTATCCAATGTCTGGATACCAGACGATGGACAAAATCCGAGAACCCAAGTAATTCCGAGTGTTATACACCATTATCAGAACCCTCTAGAATCTACTAGTAAATAATATGTCACAGTTTAAGGCTAAGTCAAAGTTGCAGAAGTAGCACGCTGTAATGAATACATTTATTTACCAGTAATCAAAAGGGCATTAAGAAATCTGTCCCATTGTCACTAGTCCATTGAACTGTTCCAATAATTTGAAATCAGTTTCCTCAAATCACTGTCCTGATCCTACATAACCCCTTCACTGCATATTATTTTTTCACCATTTTCCTAAAAGAATGCAATTTTAAGAGAAGAATGTGGGGGAAAAAAGCAACAGAAATGCATTTTCATACCCTAGTGAATAAAGCCCGAAAGAGTAAAAGGAGAACATTGTTTCTTGATGTGGACTAAAGTCAAATGTTGCAGTCTATGGTAATGGGTGATTAACATCACTCCAATATTGCAGCAGTAGGATTAGGTGGCGTAAGACTTGACAGTACCTGGATTATGTCAAGACAGAAACTCTCTGTAAAGATACTCTGATTGCACATGGTCAGTTCTTTCCACAGGTAAAGAGGGCTAGCTGAATTTCACTTGACTTAAACCTGTGGTTCAGTTTCACTTGGCCCAATGCCTAATTATTTCTTATTATGTTTCTAATCATTGCACATGTCAAAATCTCCAAAATTTATAGTAAGCTTAACTTCTTTCATTCTAGTTGATCACACTAGTAAACTAAATTACAGAATAATTGTTGACATCCTCCAGTGTGACTCAATTTGTAGATATTGGTTGACTTTATGTGTTTCGGTCAGCTGACTGTCTTCAGAAGGCATAATAAGATCAACATGTTCTGGAACTACTATCACCAAGTTTGTAATACATACTTGAAAAGTTTTTACCTAAGTTATTTACAATTATTTGGATTAAAATTATTCTATATTTCAGCCTTAGTACATCTAATATCTGGCTACACAATTTATACATTGGTATGTATTAGGCCACATCACTACTACTTTACTACTGTACAATATTATAAATCATGACACTGTGAAAAGGAGCTGCAAATGACATGGAGTTTTACAACTTGAATGTTATATTATTAGTAATTTCAGGTAAATTTTTAATTATCAATACATCTTGAATTTTAACAAGTTACCAATTGAATAGGCTAAATTCACAGGACATCAAAATAAAAATTCAGGGAACTGAACAATAATCTATTAACTAATACATGTGTCCTGCACAGAAAAGAAGATTATCATTCAAGTTGTGAACATAAATCTATGTGAACCATACAGAATAAACCAAAACTGTCATTCAGACATGTTATTTCTTAATAACATATTAAACTATGACTGGGAGATAGAGTCTAAAAAGTATCAGTTACACAACAAATGTTGTACCAAGTAAAAATGGTTTCGTTGAATATATAAGTCATATACAGGAAGGAAGACTATGACTCAATCTTGTATTTTTAAAAGTATGTTGCTTGAAAGCTTGAGATAAATTAAAATATAAGTGTCATGGATCTTATCATTACCTTAAATTCCTTCAGTCTCCAAAAATGTTAACATCTTTTGAATATAAAGTTTAAAATATATGTTGCTCTGTAGGTTAAATTGTACTGTTAAGCACTACACAATCTCCTGGATAAAATTTCTGACAAATCATATCTGCAAAAGTTTCAGACTTACCAATATGCTGATCCATCCTTTTCTTTGGTTTGTGCACTGCTGCATATGGATCAGAGCCATAGTCTTGGCGCTGTGGTATGACACTACCACCAGATGGGCGTTGCTGGTAGTCCATATCACCAGGTGTAGATGTAATGTGTGGGTATGGGGCATAATCATCGACTGCTCCATAGCCTCCATGTGTGAGAGGGTCATATCCATACTGTCCTCCACCCACCCCTGATCGATGGTGGTGGTCAGGTGTTCCACCAGTACCTGGAACAGAGTTTCCACCACCAGAATTGCTGCCTGCTGCTGCAAGCTTCATCTGCCAGAGGGAGTCTTGTGAATTAACGGAGCCACCATTGTTGGAGTTTGAGTAGCTGTTATCCATGTAGCCCATGTTAACCCCTGTGGAACAAGAGTCATGTTGTGAAACAAACTGTCTGAATCCTCACTCAGCAGCTAAACATTAAGAGTCAATGCTGTCCAAAGACCACATCCTGATCTACACAACATACAGAGAATGTGTTTCAATACCTGTACTAGGCCAACGGGTCCTGATAAAGGGAAAGATGACAATCAGGAAGCACAAAAGATTACTGATTTCAGCGCTATGATGACAGGCCACTTTGTAGCTAGGTACCAACAGATTAGAAGAACCAGCTGTTCCCATTGTGTCACATCCCAGAAAACAGTGACCTTCACATGTGCTGCCATGATAACCTCAAATCTCTCACACAGAAATATACTGTATTCACTTACATTCTCCACCATTGATGTTATGACCCTGTGGTCCTTGAGGAGGTTGGTTCCCATGGTAGCCATATCCATTCTGTGAAGCATAAACTGGACTTTTGGCTGGGTCGTCCATTGCAAGGTCCAACGAATGTTCAAGGGCTTTATTCTCCAGTCCAGAACTGGGATAGTAGGGTGGGGGTGGCTGTTGTGTCACCAAGCTTGGATGGACACTATACACAAAATAAGTCATACATTATAAGTATTTCCTTTACACAGTTACTGTCAACTTTAATATTAACTTCACCTTTGACTAAATTTATTTTAACAGATCTTCTAGTATATTACACTAACAAGTACTATTCAGGACATTCATTTACAACTTTTATACTGATGATATCTTTCTATTTAATGGACTCTGTATTTTACACACAAAAGCACCTTTCTTTGTAGGGGGATAAAGCATTTGTATACATATGTACATGTATGAAGACACACACAAATACAACTGTACACATTTCAACATTTCTTTCTAAAAACATATCTGGCAGACAAAAGAGAGAAAGAAAGAAAGAGGGGGAACCAAAGGTCAAAATGCATGTTGCATTGGCAGACATGCGACTTTTAGCTTTTGACAAGTTCGTTGGTACTTTAAATTGTTTACAGAATGAGTAACCCCCCT